GAGCCCCGACTAATCCCGGGGGTGCACAGGCCCTCGGCAAGGAGTTTCCCGCAAGTGCACCACGGTTAATTCAGGTTATACCCAGTCCGATCGCCCTCAGAAATTGTTTGCACCCAGTGGGTTTCGAACTTGAGACCTTGAAAGGGAGCAAACCCCAAGGCTCAAGTTACCTACTTAAACTATCTAGTGCCTCAAAACCCCCTGAACCATATTCCCCTAAGTATATTAAAACCCCATGTTGAATTCTTAGAGGTGCGTCTGTCTAACTATATTAACTTATAGTTTGTACTGATTCTTTATATAGTTTACTTATGATGTATTACTCTCGGATGACTGATTAATTATAGGACTTTTGGCCAAAATAGTATCTAATGTAATGGGTTAATTTTAGGTTTAACTGTGGTTGTGCTTTATACTAGACCCAATTGAATAACTCCTTATTACATTCACTTTGCAGCACAATAAAAACTAAATAAAGGCATATAGTATTGCATTTATGAAAAATCATCTTATATTACATAAACAAGATTACACATAGTAACATTTCGCAAATAACAAACTAATCGGCCAACAAATATATTCTCTAATTCCAAATTACACAAATAAGGTTTAAGAGAAACAACTTTATTCTCTACAACAAGGTGTTGGTTTAATAAGAAGATTTAAATTGGTGTTCTTTCAACAATATGTGTAAGAAGAAGACTAAAAAAGAACAAATAAATAAATTATTTCAGAGGAAACAAGAGAGGGAGAATTTTTTCCATAGGGAACCCATATGGAAAACCGAAGAATAAAGGTGAAAAAAATGAAGAAGCAGGTGAAAAATAAAAAAGAAAGGTGAAAAAATAAAAAAGAAAGATGAAAAATAAGGAAGAATGGTGAAAAATGAGAAGTAAGGTGGATATAAAGGAAATAAAAACAAAATTGAAAAAGGGTTAGGCTAATTAGCCATTACTTTCTATCAGGTGGGCCATTTTGATGGCTTTTTTCAGCTGCCACACGCTCCCAAGCGATTGTGTACACACGTTATACCAGGTAAGCAACGAGGGAGTTTAAATATGAAGGGCAATATAGTTCAAGGGGGTTTTTGGGACACCGAATAGTTTAAGTAGGAAACTGACAAAAACGTGATAGTTAGGGTATTAACTTAACTTAAATAGCAAAGAATTGAGCACTTTTTTGAAAGGATATGTATTAGTGTAAAGATAGGCAAGCAACTAGGGGCATAAATAAGCATCTGGACTTTCCCGCAGCTTTATTTCTAGACAACTCCATATTCCATATGCTTATTGGACGATTACCTCCATTTCTCCAGTATAAACACTTCATCAGGAGAAAGTATGAGTAAGACCTCCTTTCAGTAAGTAATGTCATCTATCTTACTCATGATGTTATTATTCCATAATTCATATCTCAATTTGCACAAGTTTTCAACCTAGTGCTTCGCTTGTAAGGAATATGCAATACTACGAAATCATGAAAACTTTTGGAAACACCAAATAGTTGTAGGAGTTGATATTCTCAAATTTACTTTAGAGACAGTTCTAACTGAGAAGGAATAGAGAATAAAGTACAGGATCAAGTCAAGCTTCAAGCAAGAGGAAAGCTCTAATGTAATTTCGAGCACTGGACATTCTGAAGTAGAATTAGGTAGGTTAGATTTCTTCTATTGGTTGCATCCACCAGCTGTTGTGTTTTGTTTATGAGCAGATTTTGGAATTTAATGAATAAAACTTTACTCATGATTGCTACTCCCTCTATTCCAATTTATGAGGCATACTTTTCTGTTTAGGTTGTCCCAAAAAGAACGACGCATTTCTACACTTAGAAAAAATTTAAATTTAAAATTCTCATTGTAATTTTAGTGAGATGATTTATAGTCACACAAACGTTTTTGGATTGTTTTAGACCACAAGCTTCAAAAGTCTGTCTTTCTTACTTAAACTACGTGTCTAGTAAAACAACGCCGCAAAAAATGAGATGGCGGGATTAGTAATCATGGAGCTTAGTTTAATTTGGTTGCTCTCCGCATACACTACCCTCCCTCGACTCCACTTGTAGGTATTATGTTGTTGCTCCGCGCACCTTAGTACCTTCACTTTAGTGAGGAAACGATAGAGAAGGCCGAAGGCCGAGGGCGAGGCCAGAACATTCCTGACACCTAATGGACATGAATTGTCAGGCTCCAGCTCAACCCCCTTCCCAGCGCAACCCTACATTTTCTACATATTCTAATGATTTGACTGCAATATCTTCATGAGAATCCTTGATCCTTAGATTGAATGATGCTCATGCTGAAATTTAAGTTAAGGGCTTGCTTTCTTCCCTCTTCTGTGAAACCTTACTACGTTATCAATGTCAGACACAACACTCTTTTTCTCATGACTCTCTTCAAAGTCTAAAGTGCAGCATCATATGACCACACACATATGCAGGTGGCAGTCGGACTGGCAACATATAGAGGCATCTTTAGCACACAGTTTCATACTTAGTGATTAATTTATTGTCTTAACAAATATTTCCTAGTCTTTTAAATATTTTTAAAGACATTTTAAACCCCTTACAGGGACTCATACTTCATGCAGATACACTACTTCAGGAAAATTCCGAAAATAACTCAACAAAAAGCATGTCCTAGAGGTCAATGAAGTAGAGGAGAACCATGAGGTCTCAAGTTCAAATTTCTTCCCGTCTACCTAAGTCTTGGACAGGATTACCCGATGCATGTGTTGATGGGAGGTAGTAACATCATCACCGTAACCCAACCAACACGCTTCGGCCTATCTATTCCTGATTTTGAATAATTTAGCTTCATAGTATCACACTTAGCGTGTTCTTACGTCACTCCCTACTTTTATCTTTTGTGACTAATTTTACGTGTATTACCTAATTTTAATATTTTTCATTAATTTTTATGCGTTTTTATATTTTTTTTATGTTACTTTTTAATAGGTAGTGAGTGGAGTGCGCACAAGCTGACCCAGACACCACAATGACCACATCATCAAAACTCAACACAGCATGAAGTAGTAAAATAGTCTCAATACAGTAAAAGAGAAACAATTAATGTGAGATTTGTTGAAGTTTGGCAAAATGCCAAAGTCCCACATTGGTTGGGAGTTAAGTTTGGGGGGGATTTTTCCCCTATAAAAGAAGGCCTAATGTTTAGGATTGAAACACACCTCTCATTTGCCTTCTCATCTGTTTAAGGCATTTGTATCTTCTCTCTTTAGTATTATTTCACTTGTATTTTTGGAGTGGAATAAAATATTGGTTGTGTCCGAGGAGTAGGCAAAATTAGCCGAACCTCGTAAATTCTGGTGTTCCCTTTATTATTGCTTTATTGTCTTATTTATTATTTGGTGGCTGTCATAATTTTTGGTATAGTAGTTGTGACTTATTCACACTCTATACATTTGGCTTCCGCAACAAGATTCACAAGTCTGCAACTACAAATTGCATAATGAAAGACAAATACGAAACAGGCAAAGAACAATCAGGAGAAAAATCTATAAATAAACTCTACATAAAACATAAAAGCAGTATAATGAACAAATTGAAGCTCACAAAATATGTAATATAGAGAAAACAATTGGTATTAACCTCAGTGGCGTTGAAACGGAAAGTAGGACCTCCGTTACTCGGCGGTCTTCCCATCTGTTAACGGCGTTAATGGAAAACAAAGCAATAGAAAATCTCAGAAAGCAATTGAAGCCTGCCGCCGGCGGGAGGAAACGACGGGTAGTATTTGAGAAACGATTAAACGGCCGTGAGAGGGAAAGAGAAGAAATTGGGATTGGATTTGTTTTCACGTTAATATAAGTATTTTCTTTTTCCTTTTTCCTTTTATTTTCTTTTTTCCACGTTACTTTTTCCTTTTATCTTTGTTTTTCTTGATAAATCAATTTATTCTGTTTTTATTCCTTTTAGAATTTAAATAGTACTAGAAACTTATTTTGTAATTTTATTTTCTATTACAATTAAAATCTCAAAGCTAGGTAAATTCTCGAGTAAAAACTTACCCATATTGGTGTTGGGTACGACTAAATTTTTATCAAATATCATTAGTCCGCTAAGAATTACTCCCTCACTTCCTTTTATGTGTCGATTTGCAGCAATTTTGAGAAGTAAAAAAGACTTTAAAATCTTATGTTCTTAATCTAAAAGAGTGTGTAACATAATAAAAATAAACTCTGAATCTTGTGATTTTAAACTTGCTATATCAGAAACAAACAAAAAATAAGAATGTTGTATTAAAATCCTAATAAATATAAAAATTGGTATTCTTTTCTAAATAGGCTTAAAAAAAAGACATAGTATAATTTAGAATTGAAGGAATATCTTTTTCTTCGTGGAACAAATCGTATTAAATGAATATATTGGCTTTGAAAAATACAGATTTAACAGCAGAAACTATCAAGTTGACCATATTATAATTGGTGTTTCAAAATTACCTTAATTAATTATGATTTCACTTTTGGTATTGATTCTTTTTTTCTAGTAAAATAAGAATGAATTATTTTTAAACCGTAGGAATATGAACATCAAATGTAGTGAGAAATCTGACAGCTGAGGCCAATTGTTGGCTATGTTGTAAGCTCGTGAACGCGGCCCTCTATTGAATAATTCGCCTCTCTTTATCTTTTTTTAAGTAAAGTTGTTGTCATGTGACCAGGACGTCACGGGTTCGAACCGTGAAAACAGTCTCTTGCAAAAATGTAGAGAAAGACTGCATACGATATGCCCTTATAATCCGGCCCTTCCCGAGACCCTGCGCATAGTGGGAGCTTAGTACACCGGGCTGCCCTTTTAAGTAATGAAAATGAAGTGAAAAAATACGCTACAGCAAGATGATGATTTGACACATTCACATTCACAACAAATTTCAATGCTTTTCAGTTCACAAGTCCAAAAAAGTTTCTGCAAAGTTTCCATTAATATAAGGTACTACTACTTCATAACATATTTTACAAATTCCAGGAGGAACAACTAACTACATTTAGCCTCGAGGTAGCTTTCATCATAAGGTGGCTCCTATTTGGATGTGAGATAAGCTTGTTTTTGGAATCCTCCCCTTGAAATGGCTATCTAGTCTCCATAATCTTCGAGGTTATTGACACGTTCACATTCATCTATCCATTCGCTATATCTGCACCATAGAATTCAGACTAGTTAGTTGATAATAATGGAGAAAAATGTTTTAAAAATAGTCGACAATTTAGAACATAGCAGAATGATGTTTCAACATACTTACATGTCTATAGGCTCAGTCAAAGCTGCAGAAAAGAAAAAAGAAGAAAATAACAATTGTCAGGTGAAAAAATGCAAGAGAAGCAGAGTTGAGAGCCATTGAACACCACAATTTCACAAGAGATCACACATCCTCTAAAATTATCCTAATTCACTAAAAAAAATTCACAGGACCGTACACTGCTCCGTAAGTGTACTGATTACCACTTCCAGCAAAAAACTCTACCTAATTTGATTTGATCCACCAGTGCCCCAAAAGCATTTTAGAAAGCCAAAAGCACTATATCAAACTTACCTGTCACAGTGGTACTAAAGCTTTCCTGGCAAATCCTGCATATGGCCTCACCAATCAAGTTCTTCATATCACTGAAACAAATCACAGTACTACATCATAAGAACTAGGCAAAACTACTGCAACAGGTGCAAACAGAAACGATTACAAGATACGCAACACAAACAGTAAAACAACAACGACAGTCGACAGCAGTAAAATAACAATGACCGCAGTAATGAGTAATGGTGCGGTGAAGTGAAGAAGATTGATATGTGACAATTGGCATAAAAAGAATAGCTCCAAGCAAGTTTAACTACGACAAGAAGTACTAGAAGCTCACTATATCTTATACTGACACATAAATCTTGGAAACACAACACCATTCAAAGCTCTCCACCGTCATCACCCAACTGAGCCAGGAAACAGGAAACAGAGATCTTCTTTCTCAGGATAAATATTTTCAGCCTATCAACTCTCATTGTAACCTCATTGTCCCTCCTTATCCAGATGTTAAGTTTCTAATTTCAGAAATCCTACACTCAAGTTTTTAGGTTAAACTACATGCAGGATGGTGTGAGGTACTTTCAATAAATTCCATCTGAATGGTATAGTTACCCTCCATTTGTTTTTACCTGTAAAATTAACATATCTAGTCTACGATTAAGGGACAGAAGATGGCAGCAAAGACCTTTAGCGTCGAGTAGTACAATTATAAGGCTTCAAAATGGATAGTGACCAGACATACAGCATCAAAGCAACATGTCTAAGATTAAAAAATGATGAAGGAGCACTCACATGCGACATTCTACACTGCTTCCATGATTGCAAAAAGGACAACTGAAGACACTGTCAAGTTTGTCCATTCTCTTCTTTGGTGCTGGCTTTGCTCTTGACTTCCTCTTGCCCATTTTTCAACCAAATATCACCCGACAATAGTGTATATATTTAATGATCCTAGATCAGAAGATACCAAAGTTGACTGCAAGATATGGCAGACCATGAAATACAAACAGATGAAAAAGTAAATTCAAAAATTTAATGACAACAGGATACAACATTGACAAGGCACATAGCACCAACAAAATTGGGACTTTCACCACTAAGTGCAATTAACAGTAAACAGAAACAATTATACGAGAAGACATAATTGAAAATGTTATAGTTAAGTGAAATATGTGAAGTAAAAGGTTGTCAATCTGATCAAATCAAAATTGTCTAAATTTCTAATTCAAATGTGAAAATGCAGTTCAAGTTTCTAATTCAGATCTAGTGGCTATTTTGTATGCTAACTTCCAATTTTGAATCCTAATTACTAGCATATTCTTCTATATATTACATTATATCCTTCTTCTGCTTAACACCTCCTCAGTAGGTAATGGCTCATAATCCTAAATTCTTCCATATGTAAAAGTTTCAACAAAATTTCTTTCTTTACCTCATCTTCTTCTACACGAATATGTTGAGTTTGAGAGGTTTAAACTCAAATTTTTATAGTTCAATTGCTTGCTTGATATTCTTCTCTATCTCTACTTCCTTGTTTGTTTCCTAATATATCAAAAATGCCATATTTCTGGGGAAAAAAACTGAAACCAACACCCTTATTAGTGCTAAATTAACAAAATTGAGTTTGCCGACTCTTAAAAAACATATATCAAACAAGGGAGAAATTGAACGACAACAGGTACAGGTAATTGAATTAATAGAAGAATTCAAATACTAAAAACCAAAGAATCAGTTCATCGTAGCCCGATAGAACAATTAAAAGACCCTAAAAACGATCGAACAAGAAAATATATACTCAGGAAAAATTACACAACAAAAACCAAAACCTAGAGCAATCCAAAACCCTAGATAAAGAAGAATGGAAAAGAGAGAGAACAGAACGATAAAGGTGTGAACAATACCTGCAAAATCGTAATTGCGCTTCGTTCACAGTTTTTCCAGAGTAAAAGAGTGGGAAATTTTTGTGGTGCAGGGTATTTATAGGCAGCGGAAAGAAGAAGATTCTAGTAATTAGGCCAATTTTTTCAGAAAGCCCATTATATGAACATGGGCTAAACTTGTAGTCTGATATCCATATAGAAGTTAAAGCCCAAATATGAAATTTCTATTTTTAGCCACTCCCAAAAATAATTGCAGATAAATTAGGGGCATTTGCATTTATACCCGCTTAGGTCATATTTTAACTTGTGTCTGCTTTGCAAAAAAAATTGCAAACGTACTCACTTTTTCGCGTAATTTCAGCATACGCGTCTGAAGTAGCGAAGGCAATCACGCAAAACTTCAGCATTCTACTAGACGGGCCTGAAGTAGCAAGTGTACTGAACCAAGTGTATGTGCTGAAGTTTTTATTTGTATTGTTGAACTTAAGCATAGTAGCTGAAGTTGTGTTCTCTATTTGCTGAAGTTTTTGTTAGTAATTGCTGAACTTAAGCATATTAGCTGAAGTTTTGTTCTCTATTTGCTGAAGTTTTTATTCGTAATTGCACTAAATAAACTGAAGTTATTTTGTCCTGAATTCATTAGTTTTGTCATTAAGCTTTTTCAAAAACTTCAGCAGAAGATGCTGAAATTATTTAGTTCATTTATAAAAACTTCAGCACTAAATAAGCTGAAGTTTTTTTGTCCTAGATAAGCTTTTTCAAAAACTTCAGCAGAAGATGCTGAAATTATTTAGTTCATTTATAAAAACTTCAGCACTAAATAAGCTGAAGTTTTTTTGTCCTAGATAAGCTTTTTCAAAAACTTCAACAGAAGATGCTGAAGTTATTTAATTCATTTGTAAATGTTTCAGCACTAAATAAGCTGAAGTTTTTTGTCTTTGATTCATTAGTTTTGTCATAAAGCTTTTTCAAAAACTTCAGCAGAAGATGCTGAAGTTATTTAGTTCATTTGTAAAAACTTCAGCATAAGCTTTCTAACATACTAGATAAATAATCACCTTATTCTTTCATAGTGTATTACTACTATAAACTAATCAGATTGCCAACAGTATCTAAATCATAAATTTTGAAAACAATAAACGTGAAATGAATAGAATTACATAGAAATATTCACAAATTATTGTTTACTAACTTACGTAATTATTTATAATTTATTTTTAAATAATCTGATAAACATACTTATGGCAATCATCCCATGAACTGAAGTTTCATAGCAGCACCAACGGCAGCAGAAGAAAGAAGAAGAAGAAGAAGAAGAAGAAGAAAACGAATGAGGAGAAGGAGGGGGAGAAAGGGAGCTAAAATTGTTTAAAAAATGGGTACAAGTTAAA